TCACAATTATGATGATGGCTGCTGCCACTCATACAGATGCGCAGGCTCGCGTACAAGAGGAACTCGATAACGTCGTGGGGCGTACTACGCGGTGTATGTTTACGTTATGCATTTTCTTTGTTTGTCTACTGACTGAGATAGCTCCTGATTAGTGCCGATGTTTGTTGATCAGGAAATGCTGCCGCAGGTTACCGCGTTCATGCTCGAGAGTCTCAGGTGGAGACCTGTCAATCTTGGAGGTACATCTTATTTGAGCTGTGATGATGCGATAATGAACGACCACCTTGCACCACAGGGTCTGCGCATCGCACGAGTAAGGACATTGTTTGGAACAACTACCTCATTCCGGCAGGTGCGACTGTTATTGGGAACCATTGGTCAGTAGGCAATCATTATCGTCCTCTCACTTTTAAGTCTGACGCTCGTGCTTCAGGGCTATCGCAAACGATCCTGAAGCCTTTCCAGAACCACAGACGTTTAATCCCCAGCGTTGGATCGACGATGCAGGTCGTGTGCGCGATGATCTCCGGTTTTTCGCTTTCGCTTTTGGCTTTGGCCGTCGGTGAGTGGCATCGTTCATCTCTCGACCATTTGTTATGCCTTACTTGAAAATGTCAGAGTGTGTCCCGGTCAACATCTTGCGAATCGGTCGGTCTTCGTCAACACGGCTCTTATTCTGTGGGCCTTCCGCCTTTCTGAGAATCCTGCCGCGAAGATTGACACGCTTGCATTCTCGGACACTTTCATCATACATGCTGCTCCGTTTGAGATATGTTTTGAGAAGAGGATCGATGAGAGCGTGATCAGGGAACTATGCGCACCGGACAAATAAGAGGCGTTTATTCTAGAAACTTGAATCGTCGTGCAAAGGAGTTCGTCTTGTGTTTTGTAGTCTTTTCGTTGTCAGTCTGACTTAAACTCATCGTAACACCTAACTTTGTATATCTTTAAACAGGCACGATTGTAATGATGAACTGGCTCCCTTTGGTGTTATCACACATCAAGTATCTCTTAATACACTGCGATATTCTCCAAGTTGCGTGGCTGAAGACGAGACGGGAACAATACAGGCTTAGCAGGACGCCATAGGACCACAACGCGACCCAAAGCACACACCAACCATTCCTCAACCCCACTTTACCGCTCCTTCATCAGTCTCCTGTATTTGTGCCACTCCGGTGGCCAAATACCTGTTACAGCAGACCAACAAAAACATTCGCAGCCTGAACTCAGACGCAGGGCGCAGGTGCCCTTTAGACTAGATTTGAAACGTCCGACATATGGTAGATATACCCCAAATGGACACAAAAATGTATTTTTTTAAAAAAAAAAAAGTTGCGTGGCTGATCGTGAACTGTTTACAGACAGTCCCCGGACAAAACGAAGTATAGTATTGAAGTGGTATCCTTTTACCATTCAATTATTCTGCCACCACCCATGCGCTTTCTTTTTCTAGCTGGCCAAAACGAAGAGCAGACAACTTGACATCGCTCTCACAGTTGACACGGGTTTCATTGTGTCCTTCCCAGTCTCATGGTTCCGGTCACGGTAGCCTTTAACGCGGCTGACAGTCCCATCAACTCTAATTTTTCCCTTCACTTTGAGGCACCGTAAGCTATGTGACATATCTCGCTGAATTCTTACTCGGCACTTCAAAGGTGAATTCGATTCGGACAACCTGATCTTCCAGAACACGCATGTCCTTCAGCCCTTCAACAACTTTTCTTCTACGATCCTCCGCGAAGTTTGGGGAGTGCATGGAGTGAGGGGTTCTAGAGCAGGAGCTACACACCAAGGGCCTGTACACTCGGTCCTCTCCATAGCTTAGTCAATGCGTAGATTAGGTTTCTAGCATGTTGTTGCGTAGCTTCACCTGATGCCTCAGGCCTCAGGTAACACAACACCGGTTTTGCAGATTAGGCTAGTAATTAGGTTGTTATAAATTCGGAGTACAAATGTCTATTTTTAGAATGGCGACCTACTTTATTACTTCCACTGAGTCGACCTGTTTTGTGAACCTATTATGTAATGGTCAACGGGTCATCGAGAACGACATGAAGATTTACCTTGTTCTTCAGGTGTCGAAATGTCTTCGCACTCGTGCGTCCAAGGACTACTAACGTCTTGCCAGGGTGGTCATCAAGTTCTTGGCCTATACTATAGGAAGACTGCAATATATGATTCGCACACGTTTCATTAATGCAGGTGTTCGGTCCGTGCCATGCGTATAAGTATTGAAGGCAGTGTAATCATGCGCTCTAATCTCACCGTACTCGTCGCTCATCACAGTAAGTCACCACCTTTGTGTTCTGGAGTACTTGACGCATTGCAAAGTAGCGGAGTGTCTCAATTGTAACGATAAGCAAACCGGACCGTTTTAATGGCGATTATCATTGCCGCATGCACCCTTATCATTATCTTAGCCAGCGTCTGGATAGTGAAACAACGATACCAGGCTGCAAGACGGTTGCCCTTACCGCCTGGACCGCCTGGACGTTGGCTATTAGGAAATACGATGCCAAAGTCATAGTAAGTCATTGTCAAGGGACACCGACATGATCTCTATCTAACCCCTCACGCAGTGCCCCGTTTCAATTCGCGAGATGGACAGAGCAATACGGACCTGTGTTCTCGCTCAAACAAGGCCATAGGATTTTCGTAGTTATAGGACGTCATCAGGTCAGCATAAAACAACACATTGTCTAGCCAGACATGAAGTAGATCACGTCACAGGCTGCGGTGGATATCATGGAAAAAGAGGGAGCAAATGTTGCTGACCGTCCGCGTTCTATTGCAGTGCATGAGACATTGACTGGCGGGTTGGGACCGCTCCTTGAGGGCCCTGGTGAAAGATTGCGCCGGGTGCGCAGGTACACATCTTGTCTCTACCAGGTGCGATCAGCGAGACTGAATGTAAAGCAGGGTCTTGCATGCAGGCTTGCAACCCAAGGTTGCGGAGACCTACGAGCCCATCCAGACCAGGCATGCGAAGAATTTGGTTCTGGATATCTTAAATGATCCAAAGAACCACCAAGGTCATGCCATGCGGTGCGAACACTTGCTCTTACTCCCGCGGTACAGGTGGTAATCCGAGCATTTTAGTTATTCAGCTTCGGTGGTCATGTCCTTCACCTATGGAAAAATTACTCCGACCTCATATACAGATCCTGAAGTTGTTGCCGTCAATATGGTTCTTGCGCGTTTTGGTCAAGCTATGAAGCCGGGAGCATATCTTGTGGATGCGTATCCAATCCTGCGTTTCGTCCCAGGCTACTTGAGTCAGCTGAAGGCATGGCACAAAGAAGAAATTGCTCTCTATAATGTGCAGTTGGACGCGGTGCGAAGACAAATGGTCTGTGGTTTTCTTGTGATGATAGATATGCTCGTTCACCACTGTGAAGCGTGAGGGGACTGCAAGGCCATCCTTTGCGAGGTTCATGTTAGAGCACCAGAAACAGTACCAGCTCGAAGACAAGGACCTGGCATACATTGCAGGAGCGATGTTTGGGGCCGGTTCTGATACGGTGAGCTCTTACATTGCATCGCGTCTTCGCTCGACAACTGTTGTAGACCGCGTCTGCAATCACAATTATGATGATGGCTGCTGCCACTCATACAGATGCGCAGGCTCGCGTACAAGAGGAACTCGATCACGTCGTGGGGCGTACGCGGCGTAGGTTATCCCGTTTCGTTGTTCGTCTACTGACTGAGACAGCACCTGATTAGTGCCAATGTTTGATGATCAGGAAATGCTGCCCCAGGTTACCGCGTTCATGCTCGAGAGTCTCAGGTGGAGACCTGTCAGTCTTGGAGGTACGTCTTCTTTGAGCTGTGATGACGTGATAATGATCGACCACCTTGCACTACAGGCTTTCCGCATCGCGCGAGTAAGGACATCGTTTGGAACAACTACCTCATTCCGGCAGGTGCGACTGTGATTGGGAACCATTGGTCAGTAGGCAATCATTTTCGTCCTCTCACCTTTGGATCTGACGCTCGTGCTTCAGGGCTATCGCAAACGACCCTGAAATCTTCCCGGAACCACACAGGTTTAATCCCCAGCGTTGGATTGACGATGCAGGTCGTGTGCGCAGTGATCTCCGATTTTTTACTTTTGGCTTTGGCCGCCGGTGAGTGGTATTGTTTATCTCTCGACCATTTCTTATGCCTTACAGAGTGTGTCCTGGTCAACATGTTGCGAATCGGTCGGTCTTCATCACCACGGCTCTCATTCTGTGGGCTTTCCGCCTTTCTGAGAATCCTGCCGCGAAGATTGACACGCTTGCATTCTCCGATACTGCAAACATACATGCTGCTCCGTTTGAGATATGTTTTATGAAGAGGATCGACGAGAACGTGATCAGGAAACTCTGCGCACCGGGCAAATAAGAGGCGTTTATCCTAGAAACTTGAATTTTTGTGCAAAGGAGTTCGTCTTGCGTCTTGGTGTTTTTTTTCGTTGTCTATCCGACTCAAACTCGTTACACCTAACTTTGTATATCTTCAAACAGGTGTCAAGGTAGTATGACTATCAACGTCACTCTTGTACGTACTCATCCTTTTCTTTACATACGCAATCACTCTTTGTTACATGCCTCATACACGTTCTCCTTTGATTCTTCGTCGAATATCCTCCTTAGTGTTTTGACCCAATGAGAAGTCTCATTCCCATTCCTAGTCCAAGCCTCTCGAATCGTCAGGACAGGCACGATTGTAATCATGAACTGGCTCCCCTTGGTGCTGCCATGCATGTAAAGTGCTATCCTTTTACCATTCAATTATTCCACCACCACCCATGCGCTTTCTTTTTTTAGCTAGTCAAAACGAAGAGCAAACAACTTAACTTTACTCTCAAAGTTGACACGGGTTTCATTGTGTGCTTCCCAGTCTCATGGTTCCGGTCACGGTAGTCTTTAACGTGGCTGACAGCCCCATCAGCTATATTTTTTTACCATCACATCGAGGCACCTCTGAAGCACCTTAAGCTATGTGACATCTCTCGCTTAATTATTACTCAGCGAGTCGTGTTTCGGCTTTCTCATTGATATCGTGGCTAATGGCACAATACGTAGTTCGTTGCTGGCTTGGTCGATGTGGTTGTTGTTCCTGGATTATGGACAATTTTCCCTGCTTCATGGTCAATATAGCAATCGGTGCGGAATTCGAAACTGTCATCGCTCCACAATTCAAGGAATCTGACATCGCCATCATACGCAGGAACATGCGCGCAATCATCGCCCTACATCGCTTTACGATCGTACAGTCATGATTCGAATTGTCATGCATCTTGCGCTTCCCACTGCAAGTTGCGTAGTCTGGCAGTACTTCCAAATTTGACGAGGGCTTCGAGAGTGGTTTGGGATGGTACTTCCTCCTGTCGAGAGACAAACCTGTGCAGCCCGCTCGCAACTTGGGGATGTTGGCTCAAGAATGGAAATGTAGTTGTGCTTATTCCAGAAGCGTAGACCCTCAGATCTCAGACATCGGTCCGTTTCAACAAGATTTGGCTCATTTTCCAGGAATGTAACGCTAAGCTTTGGTTCCACATTGAGGTCGAGGAGAAGAGCGATGTATGGGAGATTCGATAGCCACTGGATTGAATCACGCGTACGAGTGACGAACCCCAAGTCTTGCCCATGTTGATTCTTCCACGCTTTGTCGGAAATAAACATCTGTGAGACGCGGTTTAGATCACCGGAGCCGAGGGCAGGATCGTCAAAATAGATGGGAATCATCTTGTCGACGAGCGGCTGCAGATGTGACAGCATTGGACCGCGCTTGTGCGATGCCAAGTATCGCAAAGTCCACTCTTCGGCACTGCATCTCAGGTGATAATCTTAGATATGATATGACAATACCGGCTTGCTTACCTCGACGAATCGGCGTAATAGTTTGATCGGGAACTGGCAGTGAAATAAAACTGTCATATAATAGACACCCAGTGCGAGAAATTGATGTACACTGCGTGTTGTCAAAAATTTCCGACGGTAGATACCTGGCTGGAATGTGACCCCAGGGTCAAGTTTTAGCCGTTTCTGGACCTATGGTATGAACCGGCTTCCAGACGGTTGATTTTCCGGATTTCAATCACCTCGAAGACATCGTTTGGCCATCAAGTTCGAGCCGGCTGCTACTATGGGTCCAAAACGACACCATACGTATATATATAATAAACCACATATGATGTACACTTTATTTAATAATGATTTTAAATATTATGAATATGCATTAATATTCCATTTAAATTGCGAATACATGGTAGCTATAGGAAATACAATGCCGATGCCACCCGCTCGCTACACCTCTGGTAGCCTGACTATATGCGACATAGTTGTATGCACGCACGCACTGGCGAGGGAGAGGCTACACGAGGTATTCATTGGGGGTCAAGATAAAAATCAACGGAAGCCAGACTTACAGAGAAATGATAGACGTTGTTGGCTTTTGTCAAGGTTGTTTTCTTGCTGTTCTGCATTATGGCTCGCGTTGGTGCTAGCAATTTCAGAGTAGATGAGAGTTGCTCACATTGATATTGATGGAGGTCGCAGCACTGATGGCCTTCCCACTCTCGACCTGGGCTCTGAAGCAAGCAAGCGGCAAGCCTATACAATATATAAGCGACTTTCAAGACTATTGATCTTGTCATTACTTACTGGGCTGTGTGAGTTTCGGTAGCCCAGTATGGACCTGGAAAGAGGGCTCATATGTAAGTCGGCAACTTGGCAGCAAGAGAATAGGAACACCCACCCGACTTCCCGAATTTGCTGACCCTGAAACAATTGCAAGGTTTTAAATAATCCCTAACAGAAGTATACACACTTACCTCCAAACTATCAGAAAGAAGTGCTCATAGAGACTGTCCAGGTTGGGACTCTAGGCGAGCATGATCGTGACCTCCTTGCCGAGGTCGTTGCTGCGAAATGTTGGGTGAAATTCTTGTGCAAAGCAAGTTCACGGACACTCACGACTGGAAAGTCAAATTACTGACGAAGGGTCGGGGTGACAAGTAGTTGAGATTAAGTGTGGATTGAATAGCTCGAGTTCTGTAGTTAGAGTCTCAGCAAGCAGGCTTTTATATTCTCGAAGTGGGTAGGTCTTACTGCTAGTCTTCGTTGGAGAGCACCCTCGTCGGTGTAGTCGGGTACCCAGTCAGATACCACATCATTCTAACCATGATAAGTGAGAACAGGTGTGGACTTGAAATATGATATAGCAGTCATCCCCAACAGTTGTCGAGCGTCAAGAACAAGGTAAATTTAAACTCCGTGCACCTTGATCTGAACACTTACCGTGCGGCACAGCTTCATTCATAATTCGTATATATATGTTAGCTGCAGGTCATGTACAACTGAGTCCAGGTGGATGTAGCTAAAACGTAGATAGTACGCAGGTGAGAGTGGCTCTAAGTTCGAGCCATTGTTGACACCAGTGGTAATTTAAAGGGTCAAATTTCCGACATCGTAGAAGTTGACTGATATTTGATGGCTTCGACGTGGCTGAAACCTTAGGCACCCCCAGATTCTCAGCCATCTCTAAGCCGTCGGAATTTTTGGACAACACGCAGTGTGTAGGCAAAGTGAAAAGCTGCCTTGTCTGATGAGATAAGTAACTGCGGATAGCTAGCGGCGCGCTGCAGCGCCCATCCGCCGAATCTCGTTATTCCTAAAATCTCCTAGTAGTAGGCAGTAACTAGGCGTAGCTACTTATATATAAGTTCGGAGTACAAAGTTCTATTTTTGACCCACTGGTCGACCTCCATTACTTGTTTTGCAAACCTAATTTCGGCCTGTGGTACGACTCGACGAGCAATCCAATGGTTGTCGAGAACGACATGAAGATCTACCTTAATCTTCAGGTGGAGTCAAAATGTATTGGAACATGCGCGTCCACCACTAACTTATCACCAGGGTGGTCACATCAGGTTCCTGTACTATAGGAAGACCGCAGTACGTGACTCGCGCAGGTCCGATTTATCCGCGCAGGTGTTCAATCCGTGTTTGTATAAGTATAAGTCAGCGTAATCATGCACTCTAATCTCACCGTACCCGTCGCTCATCACAGTAAGTCACCACCTTTGTGTTCTGGAGTACTTGACGAGTTGCAAAGTAGCGGGGTGTCTCAATTGTGACGATAAGCAAGCCGGACCGTTTCAATGGCGATTATCATTGCTGCATGCACTCTTATCATTATCTTAGCCAGCGTCTGGATAGTGAAACAACGATATCAGGCCGCAAGACGTTTGCCATTACCGCCTGGACCGCCTGGACGTTGGCTATTAGGAAATGCGATGCCAAAGTCATAGTAAGTCATTGTCAAGGGACACTAACATGATCTCTATCTAACCCCTCAGGCAGTGCCCCGTTTCAATTCGCGAGATGGACAGAACAATACGGACCTGTGTTCTCCTTCAAACAAGGCCATAGGATTTTCGTAGTTATAGGACGTCATCAGGTCAGCATAAAACAAATATATTGTCTAGCCAGACATGAAGTGGATCACGTCACAGGCTGCGGTGGATATCATGGAAAAAGAGGGAGCAAATGTTGCCGACCGCCCACGTTCTATTTCAGTGCAAGAGACGTTGTCTGGCGGGTTCAGAATGCCCCTTGAGGACAGTAATGAGAAATTGCGCCGGGTGCGCAGGTACACATCCTGTCTCTACTAGGTGCGATCAATGAGACTAAATGTAAAGCAGGGTCTTGCATGCAAATTTGCAACCTAAGGTTGCGGAGACCTATGAGCCCATGCAGACCAGGCATGCGAAGAATCTGGTTGTAGACATCTTAAATGATCCAAAGAACCATCAGAGACATGCCATGCGGTACGAAAACCAGCTCTTAGTCGCGCTACAGGTGATAATAGGATTTCAGTTATTCAGCTTCCGTGATCATGTCCTTCACCTATGGAAAAATCACTCCGACTTCATATACAGACCCTGAAGTCGTTTCCATCAACAGGCTTGCTGCGCGTTTTGGTCAAGCTATGAAGCCGGGAGCGTATCTTGTGGATGCGTATCCCATCCTGCGTTTCGTCCCAGGCTACTTGAGTCAGCTGAAGGCATGGCACAAAGAAGAACTTGCTTTCTATAACGGGCAGTTAGACGCAGTGCGAAGACAGATGGTTCGTGATGATTTGCTTGTGATGATAGATATGCTCGCTCACCACTGTGAAGCGTGATGGTACTGCAAGGCCATCCTTTGCGAGGTTCATATTAGAGCACCAGAAACAGTACCAGCTCGAAGATAAGGAACTGGGATACCTTGCAGGCGTGATGTTTGGGGCCGGTTCTGATACGGTAAGTTCTTACCTTACATCGCGTCTTCGCTCGACAACTGTTGTAGACTGCGTGCGCAATCACAATTATGATGATGGCTGCTGCCACTCATACAGATGCGCAGGCTCGCGTACAAGAGGAACTCGATCACGTCGTGGGGCGTACGCGGCGTAGGTTATGCATTTTCTTTGTTTGTTTACTGACTGAGACAGCTCCTGATTAGTGCCGATGTTTGTTGATCAGGAAATGCTGCCGCAGGTTACCGCGTTCATGCTCGAGAGTCTCAGGTGGAGACCTGTCACTATTGGAGGTACGTTTTATTTGAGTTGTGATGACGCCATAATGAACGACCACTTTGCACTACAGGTTTTGCGCATCGCGCGAGTATGGACATCGTTTGGAACAACTACCTGATTCCTGCAGGTGCGACTGTGATTGGGAACCATTGGTCAGTAGGCAATCATTTTCGTCTTCTCACCTTTGGGTCTGACGCTCGTGCTTCAGGGCTATCGCAAACGATCCTGAAGTCTTTCCAGAACCACAGACGTTTAATCCTCAGCGTTGGATCGACGATGCAGGTCGTGTGCGCGGTGATCTCCGGTTTTTTACTTATGGCTTTGGCCGTCGGTGAGTGGCATCGTTCATCTCTCGACCATTTGCTATGCCTTAATTGAAAATGTCAGAGTGTGTCCCGGTCAACATCTTGCGAATCGGTCGGTCTTCATCAACACGGCTCTTATTCTGTGGGCCTTCCGCCTTTCTGAGAATCCTGCTGCGAAGATTGACACGCTTGCATTCTCGGACACTGTAAACATACATGCTGCTCCGTTTGAGATATGCTTTGCGAAGAGGATCGATGAGAACGTGATCAGGGAACTATGCACACCGGGCAGTTTATTCTAGAAACTTGGATCTTTGTACAAGGGAGTTCGTCTTGTGTTTGGGAGTCTTTTCGTTGTCAGTCCGACTCAAACTCATCGTTACACCTAACTTTGTATATCTTTAAACAGGCACGATTATAATGATGAACTTGCACCCCTTGGTGTTACCACGCATCAAGTATCTCTCGATACACTGCGATAGTCTCCAAGTTGCGTGGCTGATCATGAGTCATTTACAGACAGCCCCCGGACAAAATGAAGTATAATATCGAAGTGCTATTATTTCACCATTCAATTATTCCGGCACCACCCATGCACTTTCTTTTTCTAGCTGGCCAGAACGAAGAGCAGACAACTCTCAAAGTTTCATTGTGTCCTTCCCAGTGTCATGGTTCCGGTCACGGTAGTCTTTAACGCGGCTGACAGTCACATCAGCTATAATTTTTCCCTTCACTTTGAGGCACCTACGTTGAAGCACCTTAAGCTATGTGACATATCTCGTTCAATTCTTACTCGGCACTTCAAAGGTGAATTTGATTCGGACAACCTGATCTTCCAGAACACGCATGTCCTTCAGCCCTTCAACAACTTTTCTTCTACGATCCTCCGCGAAGTTTGGGGGTGCATGTTCTAGGGCAGGAGCTACACACCAAGGGTCTGTACAATCTCTGTATGTTGCTACCACGATCGAGTGTCAGGTGTCCTGTTCCAAATCGGAGCTTTGATCGGTTCGCAAATGAAGTGATACTCAAGCCCGAACATCCGCAGCACCTCTCCCCCCCGTACTAGTACACCATCACTTAGTATACAAAACAAATGGTTATAAAACTACCGCTTATAACATAATATATAACATATTGATATCGTAACATGGCTCAAATACAAGGAATCTTAGAAGTTTGCTTTGCCTGCAATTTACTGGCCAATGAGTCTTATACTTATTGCAATATGGAAGGCATCACCAACGACTATGAATGGGAATGAGCAAGCACACCGCAACATCAATCGTGATTGAATCAACTTAACATTGCTTGCAGAAATCAATTAATCACGCATGGATACCAATACAATGTCCACACTAGTGATGCCATAGCTTGGTTCCGGCCTGTTTGAGCTTGGACTTCTCTGATTTATCAGTAGTTTGGCTGTCCCGAAGCAAACCAAGTCACTGATTCGAACTTAATGTAGTTTGCTAGTCACACGAGCCAAATTGAACCAGCTACAACCAAAAAAATTGAGAACTACAGCTTGAGCCAGCTTCAACCAGCTCAAGCCGGCTTGAAACGTGGCTTCCAGAAGTTCTCTCACTCTTTGTCATTTGTTCAACTTCGTTGGATCCATTCACTGTTGTAATTTTTGTTACTTTTATATCATGAAGAATTCCCAACCTCCCTCCATTTGAGTTGATGGTAGATTCAGGCTGGGTGATGTTTTGGGATCTGGCTCATATGGTATGTCATCAGGAAATTGTGCGATACCTACACGGACCTATGTATCCTACGTAGATCGTCTATGTCATTAGGTAAATACCCACTATGTAGCTACTCCATAGGCACACTTGTACACTGTGTGACCTATGTAGGCAGCGTATTTAGCGTACACACACCAAATACACAGGACTAGATAGGCCGGGTAGCGCTTGTATCACACATCCTCCCGCGCGATGCAAAATAGAATGACACGGGCTGTTACGACTAGGATAGGTCGAGCTCTCCCTAGGCGGATTGCCTAATCTGATAGCGGGCTCGCTACTGGAGAGACGGGGATCTTCTCTCGAATGAGAGGTTCGGGGGTTCCACTAAAGGTAGCGTCGGCTTTCCTTTAGGTGCGGCTTAGACTGAGTGATTGGGATATTCACACAGAGGAAGTTCTGATGAAAACCTAGTAGAATCAAGTAGGGAATATACATGATTCTGTCTACTCTATATACTGTCGTCCGTGTTGTTAAGACCATGCACAAAGGGTAGGACTGATTCCAAGGGGCTTGGCTTCAGCTCGTGCGCTGCGCCCCTTACCCGAGTATGTGCCCTTAACTTCAGAATGAAGTCCGGAGAAAGTCCAGTGAAGTCCGAAGGACTTCCGGAGAAGCGTGGGAAACTTCGGAAGGACTTTCCGGACGAGTGCGAGAAACTTCCGGATGAGTGCGGGAAAG